TATTGTGGCTCTCAGGCAAACTTTTCTTTGGTTTTTGTTTTGTTTTTTTCTTTTTTCGGGGGGGGTCTTTTTTTGAGACAGGGTCTCCCTGTAGCCCTAGCTGGCCTGGATTAGCTATGGAGACCAGGCCGACCTCAAACGCAACAGAGATCCGCCTGCCTCTGCCTCCTTAGTGCTGGGATTAAAGGCGTGCGCCACCACACCTGGCTCTTTAGGTTTTTGAGACAAAAAAAGGTACCACTATGTAGCCCTGACTGGCCTGCAACTCAACTCTGCAAACCAGAGGTCATCCTCCTGCCTCAGCCTGTTTAGTGTGGGGATTACAGTCTTGTGGTACCATATGTGGGTTTGTTTTGGTTTGGTTTTTTGGTGGGGGCGGGGGGGGTCTTTTTGAGACAGGATCTCCCTGTAGCCCCAGCTATCCTGGAACTCACTGTGGAGACCAGGCTGGCTTTGAACCCATGGAGATCTGCCTGCCTCTGCCTCCTGAGTGTTGGGATTAAAGGTTTGCGCCACCACGCCCGCCTGGCTGAATTTTATTTTTTTTTTTTAAGGAGAGATTTTCTTTATAAATGCTAATGGATTTCTCTTGTTATAGGTAACCTCATTCACACAAAGTGACTTGTGACTGAGAGTTAACTGAAACACATTTGTATAAAACCTGTTTCTCTCTGAGTTAACACTGCAAATTTAGATTCTTAAACTGTTTATTCATTTATTTACAAATAGAGCCTTGATAAATATGTAGACTAAGGTTGTCTCATATGTGAGTCTCCTGCCTCAGCCTCCTGAGTGCTGGGATTGACATAGGGATGCACTACTGTAACCCAGTAAACATCAAGCCTTTAAAAGAGAACATAAGCTGGGGCTGGAGAGATGGCTCAGGTTGGGAACACTGACGGCTCTTGTGGAGGACCCAGGTTCGATTCCCAGCAGCCACGTGGCGGCTGCGAACCGTCCTTGACTCCAGTTCCAGGGGAATCCGAAGCCCTCTTCTGACCTCCTTGGCATTGCACGACACAGGTGCCCTCACATACATGCAGGCAGAACACTTGTACACATAAAATTAAAAAAATACATATTTTTTAGAAAAAGAATGTAAGCTAACGTTAGAAATCTAAATAATTTCTGTAGAGTTTGGGATATAGTTTAGTGGTAACACACTTGTCTAGCATATGTGTGGGTTCATTCCCAGTCCACCCCTGCCCCAATTTTAAAAATAATTTGTTTCAGAATTCTGAAAATGGACAGGACTAGAAAGATGGCTCAGCAGCTAGGAGCATTTGGTGCTTGTGCAGAAGGCCTGGGTTCAGTTCCCAGCACCCACATGGTGGCTCACAACCACCTGTAACCCCAACTCTGGGAGATCTGATGCCCTCTTTTGATGTCTGTGGGCATTAGACAAGAATGTGGTACACATGATAACATTCAATACACATTTTTTAAACTATTAAGTTTTAAAAAGCAAACACTTAAAAAGCAAACAAAAGTAATAATTAGGGGCTAGAGAGATGTCCCAGTGGTTAAGAACACTTAACTGCTCTTGTACAGGACCCAGGATCAGTTCCCAGCACCCACATGAGGCAGCTCACAAACACCTGTAACTCCAGTTGGGGGATCCAGTAGTGTGCTCTGATCTCTGAGGGGACCTGCATGCACATTTTGCACATAAACTCATGTAGGCACACATAAATATAAATAAAAAGTAATTTTTATTTATTTTGGATTGTTTGAGACATAAAGTATAAAGTTCTAGCTGGCCTGGGACTCACTGTGTAGACCAGGGTGGCCTTGAATTCACAGAGGTCTGCCTGCCTCTGCCTCCTGAGTCTCAGATTAAAGGCGTATGCCACCACACCTGGCAGAAATGAATTAAAAAATTTAAAGACTCAATACAAATGCCTAATAGAGGGTTTTTAGAGCTGCAGTTTTGGACCATGATGCTGGTCTTTTTTTAAGAGTTGGAGAAGCTGAGGCTTGAAAATTCATTCTACTTTTTAGTTTAAAAGTTTTGACACCCTGGGCCAGGCATGGTGGTGCACGCCTTTAATCTGAGTCTCAGGAGGCAGAGGCAGGCAGATCTCTGTGAATTCAAGGCCAGCCTGGTCTACATAGTGAGTTCCAGGACAGCTGGGGCTACAGGGAGACCCTGTCTCAAAAAGACAAAAAAAAAAAAAAATGACATCCTTTGCCAGAAAACCAGAGTTACCAGAACGTCTATTGTATGGTTCCCAGATCTTTAAAAATCCTGACAGATTAGTGTTTCGTTGTTGCTAGCTTGGCTTGCAGTTTATTTTATGGAAGAAGAATCTGTGATCTATTAACATTCTTTTTAAATTTGTTTTTAGTTATATGTATATGGGGGAGGGTATATGCATATGCATGCCAGTGCCTGCTGAGGCCGGAGGTATTAGATCCCTCAAAAGCTGGTTGTGTGCAGCCTGCGTGGTTGCTGGGAATTGAACTCTGGAAGAGCAGCAAGTGCTCTTATCTTTATCTCTTCAGCCCAGATACCATCTCTATTTAAAAAATAATAATAATAATAACCTAGGGAGAGTGTCAGGTGGTAGCAGCATATAATAAAATTTACCAGGCAGCATTCATGGTACTTAAATGTTATAATTTAAATTCTGCTTTGTTGATAGGGTGTCTGGGAAGAGGTAGATTACCAAATTACTGATAAATTTATCTGCTTTCAAACTCTTAACTCACAGAACTCTGTCTACCACAGTATCTAATGGAGGTGGGAGAGTTGTGTTCTCAAAATTTCATGTAAAGGGATGGTCATCTTCATTAATTCTGGGAAAGAGTTGTTGGAATACTTAAATAGGTACACCTTTGTAATTTTTGTTCTGCTAACTAAATCAAATTCTTTTGTTCATATTTTGATTCTGCTGTGTCTTAGTGCCCACTAGGTGGTAGGATATCACCAAATGAAACAATTCTAACATGGGGTTTTTACTTTGTAATTGGGATAAACAAGTATTTAACATATTAGGATAGAGGGCTCAGCAGTTAAGAGCACTGGCTACTCTTGCAGAAGACCCAGGATCAATTCCTAGCACCCATGTTTAGGCTAACAACTGCCTGAAACTCCAGTTCAAGAGAATCTGACACCCTCTTCTGGCCTCTGCAAGCACTGCATGACACAGATGCACCTACATACATGCAGGCAGTACACCCATACACATAAAGTTTTTAAAAAGGATGATGGGATATGAGAACTATAAAAAATAGAAATGTAAAAAGATTGTTTAAAAACCAGCTGGTGGGGTGACTCAGCAGATAAAGGCACCTGCCACCACATCTGCTGACTTGAGTTTGATCCCCTGGACCCACCTGGTAGAAGAGACACAGTTGCTGAAAGTTGTGATTTGCACACACACTGACTTATACCACTTATACAATGTAAAAACAGTTTAACCTTTTTCAAAAAGAATAAGAATTGAAAAAGGTCAGTGTGGAGGAATAGATAAGGTTTTGAATGAGAAAAACTTTAGAAGGATGAAAAGCCTTTAGAAGGATTTAACCAGAATAGTGACATACATAGATAAACTAGTTAAGCACAGTGCCAATGGCAAAACTTGACATATAGGTGACTTTTTAGAAAAGATGACTTTTGTTTACTGTATTTAGCTCTGGATAAATGAGAAATTCCAAGGAAATGTTAGGCTTGATTTCTGTTTTGTTTAAAGATAAGGTCTCTATATAGCTCTGTGGCTGGAACTCAAAGAGATGCGCCTGCCTCTCTGCCGCCCTTGTGCTAAGATTAAAGGCATGCACCACTACACCTGACTAATTATGGGTTTTTTGTTTGCTTGTTGTGAGACAGAGTGACATTATTAGCGCCAGCTAGCCTGGAACTTGGAAAAAATTAACGATGTAAGGGAACATTAATGAATATGTGGTTAGATCTAGTACCTAGAAATAACTATGTTCATTTGTTTCCTGATTAAATTTGAGTATTAGTAAGTAGCAAAAGTGTTTTCAGTATAAATAACTCACTTGTTAAATTTGTATAAATTATTATTTCAAAAAAAATTCACACACCTTTAGTCCCAACACTTGGGAGGCAGAGGCAGGTGGTTCTTTGTGAGATTGAGGCCAGCATGGTCTACATAGCAATTTCTAGTCCAGGTGGGGCTACAGGGAGATCATGTCAAAATAAATAAAAGCACAGAAACATAATAGTATCCATACTAAGTCAGATATGATTTAGTGCTCATAGATTTTCACATGAAGATTTCATATTTGTTAGGTTAGCTGTGTCTATACATTTTTTCTTGACTTTGTGTTTTAGTGCATTATTCAAGGTCTGTTTGTTACATGTCTCTGGCTTTTTGTAGTGTGTAAATTTGCTTAGTAAGTAATCATTGCTGTCACCGTGCATTCTAACAGTGTGCAGTGCTTCTCTTCTTGAGTTACCGGTCTTTTTTTAACAGTGAATTTTGTATAAATATTTCAAAAGAAGCTGATTCTTTAAAGATTATTTGTTTATGTATATGAGTGTTTGCCTACATGTACATATGTGTATCATTTGTTCCTGGTGACCATGGAGGCCAGAAGAGGGTATCAGGTCCCAAATGGAGTTAGAGATGGTTGTTCCGCCATGTAGGTGCTGGGAACGGAATTAGGGTCCCTCTCTACAAGAGAACCCAGTGCTTTTAGCCCCTAAGTCATCTCACCAGCCCCACTTTTTTTTTTTCTTTCTTTCGAGGCAGTGTCTCACTATATAGACCAGGCTGGTCTTGAATTCACAGAGATTCATTTGTCTACCTCTGCCTCCTGGTGCTGGAATTAAAGGTAGTAACGACTCTGTAATATAACAACTTTGTACCTTTATTGCAAATTAAAACTCATAGGTTAAGGTCAGTGAGAAAGCATGTATCTAGAATCTGTAGAACCCTGGGTTGGAGCCCCGTTACTGTAGTGAATCAATCAAACTATTGTAAAATGAAAGATTTATTTAAATAAAAACTGTCTCATCATAATGTCATTTGAAGGAGCAAGAACTATTTTTTATTTAATTGGAAAAAAATGTAATTGGAAGAAATTAACCGAAAGTCTCCTTACCACCCCCCTTTTTAGGATTCAAGATGACCAACGAAGAACCTCTTCCCAAAAAGGTATGTTTGCTTCATAGCAGCTTTTAAACACTTCATGTGTAATAAAATTTAAGGGACTCTTCTACACTGTGTGCTTTTTTTCACCTTTGTAAACTCATCTTATGTCTAAGTGTTTTTACCTGGTTGCGCCCCCGCGCAAACCCAAGGAGGCCAGAAGAGGGTGCTGATTCCCTGAAACTGGAGTTAGGGTGGTTTTAGCTGTTGTGTGGGTGCTGGGAACAGAGCTCAGGTGCTCTGGAAGAGCAGCCAGTGCCCTTAACCATCTGAGCCATCTCTCCAACTCCTCTCCTAATTTTTTTAAATCCTCCACGGTTGTAACTTAAAATCTTACAGTCTTGTATTTTCCTCTGGTTTTATTTTTTTTAATATTTTTTAGTTATATCCGTTTCATGTGTGTGAGTGTATTGCTTGTATGTATATAAGTGCACCGTGTCATGCAGTGTCCTCAGAGGTCAGAAGAAGGCATTGGATTCCCCTGGAACAGGAGTTAGGACAGTTGTTAGCTGCCATGTGGGTCTTGGGAACCGAACCCTGGTCCTGCAAGAATGCCAGAGCTCTTAACTGCTGAGCCATCTCTCCAGCTCTCCTCTGAAGTTTTATTTTCTAACTTTGATTTCACCCTGTTCTATAGCCCCACATTGAGTTTAGTGATCACATATATACTATAGGTACAATGCATATATAGTGCATTTTTGTTAAAAAAGAGTAACGGGAATTTGATTCATTTGGAAAAGCCTGGTACGTGCTTATTAAAACAGTTAAGTGAACAATTTAATGTTACGCAAGTTTCTAAAAGTTTGGAGTCACACTACTCATGGAGTGACTAGAGCATTAAAATGTCTTTAGTAATGTTAAAATTATGGTTTACTTGTGGGTAGTCTTACATATTCAGGTTTAATGTTCCTCTGTTTTGTAATACTGCTGTGTTACTGGTTAATTATTTGAACTTTTCTTAAAGGAATTTTTTTCTGTGCTACTGGGGAATGAACCCAGGACCTCAGTGTGCACTGTGTAAGCACTCTACCATTGAGCTATGCTCCCAGTACCAAAAAAATGTTTTATTTTGAGACAGGGTTTCCCTATATCCCTAGCTGGCCTGGAACTCACTGTGTAAACCAAGCTGGCCTCGATCTCACAGAGATCCATCTGCCTATGCCTCCTGAATACTGAGATTAAAGGCATGTTCTGCCAAAGCCAGCTAAGAAAAAATGTTTTAATAAGGCCTTAATTTTTTAGGTCTCACCTTTACAATAATTTGCTATAAGGAAATGAATTTTTTTTTTTTTTTTTTTTTTTGAGACAGGGTCTCCCTGTAGAACAGACTGGCCTTGAACCCAACAGAGAGCTGCCTACCTCTGTCTCCTAAGTGCTGGGACTGAAGGTGTGTGCTACCACCCCCAGCAGGAAAGTAATTATTTCTAAATGTATGAAGCAGTTTCAGCTTATGCTCTCCTTTAAAATTTATTTTGAATGATTATAGGTTGATAAGTTTTTCAAGATGTCTAGGAAGGTTCTATGAGCTCTTCACTGAGCCTCTTTCAATGTTAACATCTCAGATATCTTGAATAACAGTATGCAAACCAGGAAATGGTGCAGTTCACAGAGCTTCCCAGATCTCAAGAGTCTGGTGTACATTCTGTGTGCTACTCTGCAGTTTTAGCAGATGTAGAGGTTCTTTTTTTTTTTCACTCAATATAATTTCCATAAAGGTTATTGAAATTGTTTCACATATCACTAGTCTCTTCCTATTTATTGCTGGAGAATATTCTATAGTATGGATGCATCATTTTTATAAACATTTACCTATTAGAGGACATTTATTTAGACTATTCTAGTTTGGGACTATTACAAATAAAGCTGCTTGTGAATGTTGGCTTTCTTTGGGCTGTATGCTCACAGAGTACAACGGCTGGCTCATATGCACATCCAGTTTTAGTTTTGTTGTTTTTGGCTTTTTCATTTTAGTTTTGAAAGGAGCTGTCAAGCTAATTCTCAGAGTTGTGAAATATGGTATCTGAGCTAAGGAAATGTTTTATAGCTCAGTACAGAGTCCTATGGGAATAACCATACGTGCAAGATATGGGTACTCAGTGCATTTTTAAATTTTGCTTTATAGGTTCGTCTGAGTGAAACAGACTTCAAAGTAATGGCACGGGATGAGTTAATTCTAAGGTAAAATGTTCTTTTATCAAAAATATGAAAAATCTTTATAGACTATTGTGACTACTGTGACATCTTTATGCTATATGTAGTTTTGTGAGTTTTTGTTACTATTTTCATCTGAGGCAGGATCTTGCTATGTATCAGGTCTGTCTGGTACTTACTATGTAGCCCAGCGTGGCCTCAAAGTCATGATCCTCCTGCCTTAGCTAACCAAGTACTGGGATTATCCATCTGTGCACCACTGCGTCTGGCTTGTTTTTAATGCTAATACACCTTAAGTCACTTCATGTGTTTCTTAAACAGATTTTCTACAGCCTGTTTTTTTCAGTATATAAACAAGGAGGAAAGCACTTTTTTTTTTTTTTTTTTTTTTTCCCCCTTGGTCTTTTTGAGACAGGGTCTCCCTGTAGCCCCAGCTGTCCTGGAACTATGTAGACCAGGCTAACCTTGAACTCAGAGATCCACCTGCTTCTGCCTCCCAAGTGCTGGGATTAAAGGCATGTGCCACCACGCCCAGCAAAAGCACATTTTAAAGAATATAGTTTAGGTAATTTCTAGACTAATACAGAAAGTAAATTTGTACATAGTAGGCAAGCACTCTTCCCACTGGTCTACATCCCCAATGTGAAGTCAGTAATTTCCCTTTACTTGTGCCAAGCTACTCTGTTGGGGACTTGAGCTTCTCTTTGTCATAATTCCCTATGTAGGACAGTTTTCCATTGCATACCTTTTTTACTTTTTATTGAATTTTGGCGATTTTCATACAATATAATTTGATGGTGTTTTGATTCCCCCCATCCACACCTCCCCTTACTGCTCCTACCCAATTTAATGTACTGTATAATATATGTACGTGTGTGTGTGTGTGTGTACACATGTATAAAATGAGTTTGTGTCACGTGTGTGTGTGTGTGTGTGTGTGTGTGTGTGTGTGTGTACACACATGTATAAAATGAGTTTGTGTCCCCAAATGTCCTTCATTGTGGGTTCATCCATTGGGCCCACCAAGAGTCCCATTCCTGTAAAACAGTCTTTCCCCCTCCCAGCAGCCATCTGTTGCCCAAAGTTCTTAGGTTGGGTTGGGATTTTGTTTGATTTGAGCTTGCATGGGACTTGTGCATGCTGTCACCATTGCTGTTTCTGTAACTGGCCAGCTGTCTGAAAGACTCTTGAGCCTTGGGAGACAGAAGTTTGAAATAGGTGACCTATTCAGGGATAAGCACTCTGTGGACTCTTGTTCTCTGCACATTGACCAGTTCTGGGTGTCCGTGTTAATCAACGTCTGCTGCATAAGGAAACTTCTCTGGTGAGGGTTGAGAGAGAGATGCATCCATGGCATGTGTAGAGGTTGCATTTGAAGGTGTGGCACTTAGTCTCAGTGTTTCACAGCACCTACTCTGTGTTCACCACTTGTGGGCTCTGTATCCATTGCATATCCTCTTGTGTCATTCTCTGAGGTTGGCCTTATCTCTTGGAGAACTACAATCTTAACATACTCTTTTTTGTGTGTGCGTGGCGGGGAGGGGTTGTTAGCCTGAGCCTTTCACAGCCAAGCTATCCATCCAGTCCGTGATGTCTGATGTGATGTGCTCCTTGCTCTATAATTCTTCTTAGATGCTCTTCCAGTTAGCCGCTGCTGGTTGGTTTGCTTGATTTTTGGTGGCAGGTTTTGTTGTTGATGGGACAGAGTTTCTCTGTTGAGCCCAGGTAGGCCTGAATTTACAGTCCTGCCTCCATCTCTGCAATGCTAGAATTACAAGTCTGTACCACCATGGCTTCTGTACTTTTTTGAAATAGATTGTCTCTATTGCCAAGGCTGATTTTTAACTCCTAAACACAAGCAATCTTCCTTCCTTGGTCACCAGGCTTGTTAGAATTACAGGTATATACCACTGCACCCCATTTACAGCCTTTTCCTTGATTTAACAACTGGAAGGAGAAAAAAAAAATCAATTCTCTTAATAACAATTATGATAGAACTTTTCTGTTAAATAACCTTTAAAGTTTCTAAACGGTGTAGTTATATCCTTGAGGTAAATTTAACTTCTTTCTTGGGGAATTTTCATTTAAAACTTTTGGATAAGTTTGGTTTTTTTTTTTTTTTTTTTTTTTTTTTTTTTTTTTCTTTTTTTTTTTTTGGCTTTAAATCAACTAGTTTAATTCAACTTGTGAGGCAGAGGCAGGTGGATCTCTGAGTTCAAGGCCAGCTGGGGCTACAGGAGACCCTGTCTCAAAAAGACTGAAAAAAAAAAAAAAAAAAAGAATGGAGCTATGGAGCTTAAACACTTACCTAGCATACGTGAAGCCCTGGGTTCCATCCCAATCCTACATAAACCAGGCTTTACTGTAACCCCAGCACACTGGAGGTAGAGAAAGATAGAGACGTTTAGTGTCATTTTCAGCTACATAGCAAGTTTGAAGCCAGCTTGGGTACGTGAAGTTTTGTCTCAAACATGTATAAAACCAAACTAAAATTTTAATTAGCTGTGACTAATACAGAAGCTAGAAAATGTCTTGTTATCTAACAGACACTCAGACAAGGGTATTCTTTATTAGGAGTTCCTTAAAAACAAGCCTAGGGAAGTCTTTCTTGTATTTTCTGTTGTAATTGCCAAAAGCAGCTAATGGCTTATGTCCTGGGTAGAGGATATAACAAGGAAGAAGTGTCTCTTTATTAAGGTGATAGTATATGTTGTGCATTTTTGCAGTTCCTGCTAATTAGATGTAGTTTTCTAAATAATCTTGAAAAGTAGTTAGTTGTTCACCTTTTCTTGTAGGTAAAAGTAATTCAGCTTTACAAAGACTTGTAAGAGGGAAATTTGAAAATTCTGAACACAAAGAAGGATTAAGTATTTTAAAGACATGGAAATGCTAATTACTATTTTGGTCATTATACACTGTATCCATGCATATCAAATTACCAGCTGTATCCCATTAATGTGAACTATTACATATTTAAAAGCCTAGGAGAGCTAGGCATGGTGACTTGTGCCTTTAATCCCAGCACTCTGGGGGCAGAGGCAGTTTGATCTCAGTGAGTTTGAGGCCATCCTGGCCTACATAGTGAGTCCCAGGTCAGCTGGGGCTACAAGGAGACCCAAGACAAGGCAAAGAAAGAAAGGTGGTACTTTCACAAAAGAGCCTTTTTTAAATTCGTGCAGTTAAACACATATTTTTTTGTTTGGCATTTTTATTAAACTTTTGTAATCATAACCATCAGTAATGGCTGAATAAATCTGGGCTGTGATCTCATTCAGAAGAGAAAAGTATGCTTGGTGTGTTCACAGTAAAGAGCACTTTTTATCTTCGAGCCGCCCCCCAAGTCCTGGGGATTGACCCTAATGTTGGGCAAGCAGCTAGGTCCACAGCTCCTTTTTATTTTGAAACAGAGTCTTGCTACGTTGCCCAAGCTAGCCTTGAGTTTGCAATCCTCCAGCCTTCCTAATAACTAAGAATATAGGCATGTTGCCACCATGCCCAGCTCATTTGTGTTCTTTTACCATCTCTGTCCTCTTTACCTGTTTCTTATACATTGAGAAAGAATAATGAGGTTACTAAATTGATTATTAAACTATGTTTGTAATTACCTCAAAAAGTTAAAAATAATCCAGCAGAATTCTTAGTCTTAAATTTATGGGTATGCTTTTCTAGTATATTTAATAAATGCAGTTTCATTGGAAGTGCTAATGTGGATTTACTTTTGTACTAGATGGAAACAATATGAAGCATATGTTCAAGCTTTGGAGGGAAAATACACAGATCTGAACTGTAAGTTTGGGTTTTAATTTCCTAATGATTGTATATAAATAGTTGTCTTTAGTTGCTTTGTTAACACAAATGCAATTTCGTTCAAGCATTTTATTGTAACAGTTATGTCCAGATACTGTTGGGAGCTGGGAAATGTAATGATGCAAGAGGTGTTTTCTTTTGACAAATTCCCAGGCATTGAAGACAAACATGCATTCTAAGAGTCACAAAATGGTATGACTGGTTTTAGTAAAATTAAGTGCAAAGTGGGATGACTCATAACTAGTGAACTTTCTTGATGTGTGCTAACCACCTTCTGCATAGGCATTTTAATTATGTGCACTATTAGTGTAGAGGGGAAGATACACAGACACAAGTATTTGGGTTATGGGAAGTTAAATTACAGCATTAGTATATAGTGATACAGAGGGGAGGGTTGTTTTGTTTTTTGGTTGTTTTTTTAAATATTTTATTTACTATTTTTACTTTATTTGTATGAGTGCATTATCTGTATGTATGTAAGTGCACCCGTGTCAATGCAGTGCCTGTGAAGGTCAGGAAGGGGTCAGACTCCCTGCAACTGGAGTTATGGACAGTTGTTAGCTGATGTGTGGGTGTTGGGAATTGAACCCGGGTCCTCTGCAAAAGCAGTCAGTACTCTTAACCTCTGAGCTACCTCTCCAGCCCCCTGTTTCTTGGGGTTTTTTGAGACATAGCTCAACTATGTTGTTGAAGCTGGCCTGGAACCTGACCTTCCTACTGCAGCCTCCTGAGTGTGATGATTATAAACAGATTACTATCATGCCAGGCCAAGTAATGGCATTTTTATGTTGAATAAGTCAGAAAATACTATTGGGTTTTTGTAAATACCATATGCTACAAATAGGTATGGACAGCATGGCTTCCTGTGTTCTCATGGAGCACAGTAAAGAAAAACATAACTCCGAGCAGTGTTGAGGTTGTGGAACACTACAACACTGTTGCTTCCTAAGGGAGATCTGATCAGGAACAGCAAGAGAGGGAAATGTAGACAGTGAGATTTTTGATTCCTTTTGACAGAGACAGAACTTTTTGGTTAGGTCAGTTTGATCTTGAAATAGATTCATTATGGGGTTTTTTGGGTTTTTTGTTTTCCTTTTAATCAGCAAATGACGTGACTGGCTTAAGAGAATCTGAAGAAAAACTAAAACAGCAACAGCAGGAGTCTGCACGCAGGGAGAACATCCTTGTCATGAGACTCGCAACCAAGGAACAAGAAATGCAAGAGTGTACTGTAAGTATCTCAGAGATTTTAAGTCTGTAGTTGAGGAGTCTATGTTACTACAGGTTATTTAAATAACAATAACGGAAAATACAAGTGTGTGTTAAGTGTGTTCACTTTGGAAGGCAGCTGTGCTCACCACTACCACCAGCACTGTGAGCCACCAAGGTGTGTACACTTGGAGTTGGAAGTATGCTAAGTGTAAGGTTCTTCCTAGTGTCTCGTTATTTAGATTTTAGCTTTAGCTTGTCTTTTGGTCAAGAAGGCAGTCTCTGAAATTACCATGCTTTGTGAAAATTGATTTATTTTTTGTATTTTTCAGATAGCCCGCTAACTGGATAAGAAGGGCATTTTTCTATTATTGCTTCATTTCTGCTTTGTAGGCTAGTTGTCTTACTAGTTTGTCTGCTCTCTTTTCCCTGTGCGTAGACCTATCTGGTGTCAGCAGCTTCTGTGCTGTTCTTTTTATAGCTTGTTTTGTGGTGCATTCCATGAATGCACAGGTCTGAAGTCTAGTGGTGGTTGTCTTTGACAGTCCTAGCCATTCCTCTGTTCCTATTGTGGGCAACTAAATTCTACCAAAAGTTAGTGGGAGCCCTGTCTTTGCTTCTAGTCTGAAAATCTGAATGTTTCTTCAACTATTTACTCTCCATTTGATACACATTTTTTAAAATCTTGGGGTGTGGGGCTGGAGAGATGGCGCTGCAGTTAAGAACACTGACTGCTCTTGCAGATGACCTGAGTTCTCAGTTCCCAGCACCCACAACAGTCCCCACCTCCGGTTCCAGAGAATCTGAGAATCTGAGGACCTCTTCTGGCCTCTACAGGCATTGCATGACACAGGTACACTTAGGTATGTGCAGGCTAAACACTCATACACCTAAAGTAAAAATAAATAAAAAAATTTTTTTTTAATCTTGGGATGTGTAAGGGATTATTTTGATCACTGGAAACAAAAAATAGGCCCATTCCCATTCTCCCACCAGTAGGCTGTTCTTGGCCTCTGCCAACCCTTCATTTCCTGTTCAGATTGCCGCCTTTGCACAAATCTCTTCTTTCTCCCTTCATTTCTTCATCTCTTATTTTGCTAAAACGTAACTCCTGTCGTACTCATCTTGTCATCATTTTTCTCCCTGGTTTCCCACAGTTTATATCCTCATTACCACTGATACTTATCTCCATGGCCACTGATGACTGCTTTAGCAGGTTCGCTTTGACAAAGTGTGCTGACACCAGGAGAGTGAGTGTGTGCATAGTCCGGGTTCTTGCCACTAACTGGTCTTGAATGTTTGCTTTCTTTCCGATTCCCAGTTTTGACATAGTTCAGGTACTTCTTGCCTGTTGCCTACATACACAGTGTGTGTCATTCACATACTGGCAGGGTTGGGCTTGTTGTGCCTGATCAGTGCCTTTAGGTGGTGTGCCACTATGGTTTGGTTTTTTGTTTTGTTTTGAAGCTTCTGTCTGGTAGACCCTATCATTTTTTTTTATACCTTTCTCTGGCACATAGCAGCCAGTTGCTCTTTTAGTTAAAATTCAGAGATTAGGTTTTGTAAATGGCAGCAGGAATAGAAACACAAGGAAAGGGCAAGTGAAGTTGAAGTTTCAGGTAAGGCTGAGAAGTGGGTGAGGGTGCTGGGGCCTTAGGTATTAACCAGTTATAAAGGAGCCACTGGAGAATTTTTAAGCAGAGAGATTCATGTGGCTGATTAGCTAGCATCTTGAGTATGGAAAGCATTGTTTTTTCGTGTGTGTGTCTGTGTGTCTGTGTTTTCTTGTGTTTGAAATAGGGCTTGAAATATATAGCCCAGGCTGGCCCCAAACTCACTAGTAATTGAAGGTGACTGAACTTCTGGTCTTCCTACCTCAACCTCTGAGTGCTGAGATTATAGGTATGCACCAACATGCCTGGCTTATGCAGTGCTAGGGATCAAACAGGATTTTGTGCGTGCCAGGCACTCTACCAAGCTGCATACCCAGTGCCTAGAAGGTAGATTTGAGACTGGGACTGGGAATAAGAGTGCCTGCTGGGTGGAGGAGGGGTTGTTGAGATTATATAATAAACTGGTGACTAGGAGAGAGCAGACAGGGTACTCTTTTAGGCACTATCAGTAGAACTGATCAGTTAGATCTTGGGGAGAAATTCAGGAATAAATTATAGCTGGGTCTCAGGTTTAGAACTGGTGATACTACTAGGATAGAGCCTGAAAAAGAGATAACATGTAAAAAGAAGAACAGAGTGTAGCCTTAGGAAAACAGGAAGTGTGACTCAACTCCCACCCTGGGTAAAAGAGTGACTAACAGTGTCAGAGACAAGAGTAAGTTTTAGTGAAAATGGGAGTTGTAAATTGTTCAGATTAGTGGTAGGAGATAGATAGTGGGCTGCTTTAGTAGCACATGTTTCTTTTGAGGGTTAGGACCAAAGCAAGACTGGAATGATATAAGTAGGTGATCATACCAAAAGGAGATCGGACTAAGATTACATCTTTCGGGTTAAGAACCTAAATTCAATCCCCCAGAACTATGTAAAATGCTGTGTGCGTAATGGCATGTATTTATAATCCTAGCCCTGGGGAGGCAGAGCTAATGGAACTAACTAGACAGGTCCCAGTCCAGCAAGATGCCTTGTCTGAAAAGACAAAGTGGGTGGTGTTTGAGAGGAGACATCAGAGGTTGACACTTAGGGTTGTCCTCTGGCCTACACTTGTACACACTCACTCCTGTACACACATGATTTAATTAACATGTGAAGGTCAGAGGGCAATTTGAAACAATTGGTTCTCTCCTTCAACCATGACCAAGATGATGAACTTGGCAGTAGGTACCATTACCCACTGAGCTATCTTGCTGGCCCTAAAACTAATTTAAAAAAAAAATTTTTTTTTTTGGTCTTTTTGAGACAGGGTCTCCCTGTAGGCCCAGCTGTCCTGGACCTCACTATGTAGACCAGGCTGGCCTTGAACTCACAGAGATCCGCCTGCCTCTCTACCTTCCAAGTGCTGGGACTACAGGCGTGTGCCACCACGCCTGGCTTAAATTACATTTTATTTATTATTTTATTGTGGGGGGTGCACACATTCCATTGCACACGTATGGAAGTCAGAGGACAATTTGTGGCGGTTGGTTTTCTCTAACACGTGGGTCCCAGGGATTAAACTCAGGTTATCAGGGTCCCCAGCAGGCATCTTTAGCTATTGAGCCATCTCAACAACCCTAAAACTTGACTTTTAAAATAGTGTTCTCTTCCCTGGCAAAGTTTTAGTCATATTTGCCTTTTCATGACCAAAAGTATTGCTCTTTGGGACTTATTTTGAGTAGTGTTATAAAGACTTAATTAGTAATGAAACCATATAATGTATACTGTCACATGTGCTTTATTTTCTTCTGCTAAATTATGGTAGTAGTTGGCCTTACATTGGATAAATGGCTATAGTTTTTGTGTAAAATGAATTACTTCCATAAGGGGCTGGAAAAATGGATCAGTGGGTAAGACCATTTGCTACTGCTTTTGCAGATGACCAGAGTTCAGTTCCCAGGACCCACAACAGGGGACTCAACGGCCACCTATAATTCCAGTTCCAGGGAATCTGTCTCCCTCTTCTGGCCTCTAAAATTAAATCTTCCTAAATTTGGCCAGGCATAGTTAGTTGTTCATGCCCTTAATTGAAGTGATTGGGAGACACAGGCAGGTGGATCATTGAGCAAGTTCCAGGCCACATAATGAGGCCTTGTCTCCAAAACAAAACCCTCCATATATTAAACAGTATTTTTTTGTTTGTGTGCAATGAAGTCATAATTAAATGCCATCTCAGTCTACTTAGTATATTTGTGCATTCTAAGTTCACAGTAGGCAGTTTACTTTCATCTAGTTAAACCTTGGGGTAGCACAGACTCTTGAACAAGTTCAACTTTGATTATGAAGAAAATGATGAATATTATGCTAATAACTATTCATATTTTAGAAGATGTGTTTCTAGAATGCTAGTAAATAGTACCACTGAAGCTGGAATTGAAGGTTTCATGTAAGTAGAGAGTTCTGGTTTGGTGCAAGCTCCACTGAGTCTGAAGAAGTCAAGAGCTAGAAGTGTATTACTCACATCTGGCTTGCTTAACCTCTCAAAAAAAAGCAATTTGGACCAGATCAGTTAACATTCAGCATGATGGTTATGTGATTCAGACCTCCTCAGAAGGGGAAAAGACTATGTTTGCTTTCTGCTTAAGATGCTATAAATTTTGCTTCTATAAAGCCATAATATCACTATTGTATGGTTTTAAATTTCAAAGTGAAAATGGTACTAAATTCTAATCTTTTATCTGATGAAGTTAGGGAAGTTTTATGTAGAATAATTTCCATAGGCAAAAAATTGTTCCATCAGCTAAGACCGCATCAGCTCTTTATAATGAGGACTTTAAACTTCGCTTCATTCTAGTTGTCAGCATCCCAGTCAGGACATTGCGTGCTTGTTGTTTTAATATTGTTTTGGTTGCAAAGAAAGGAATAACCTCATGAATCTCCCTAAACAGTTTTTCATTGTTGTTGCTTTTTGTTTTGTTTTGTCTTTCTTGAGACAGGGTCTCCTTGTAGCTTTAGCTGACCTGGAACTCACAGAGATCCACCTGCCTCTGCCCTCCCGAGTGCTGGGATCAAAGGCATGTGCCGCCATGCCCAGCTCCTAAATAGTTTTTAAATTTGTACTTTTTCTTTTGTGGTGGTGAGGACCAAAACCCAAGGTCATATACATAGTAGGCAAAAGATTTACTGCCAAGGTACATCTCCAGCCTTTGATAACTTCGTTTTGGGTTGTTTTGTGTTTTTTCGGTCTTTTCGAGATGGTCTCTGTGTAAACCTAGCTGGCTTGGCATTTGCTATGTAGACCAGGCCTACCTCAGTCTCACAGAGATCCACCTGCCTCTGCATGCTTCCTAGAGGCGTTTTTGTTTCAGTTTATGTTTTAATTGTGTGTATATGTACTGGGATTGAACCCAGGGGCCTTGCTCCCATGTGCTGTCTGCCACAGAACTACACCCTTAACCCTTAGAATTTTCAGATCAAAGGAGAAGGGGTGCCTTAATAAGTGAGCTGATGAGTTAATGGAAGGGAACTCCCCATCTTCTGAAGGATTTCCTTTGATTGGTAGTAACTGTTTCTTTTGCTTTGCACAGACTCAAATCCAGTACCTCAAGCAAGTCCAGCAGCCCAGTGTTGCTCAACTGAGATCAACAATGGTAGACCCAGCGATCAACTTGTTTTTCCTAAAAATGAAAGGTGAACTGGAACAGACTAAAGACAAACTGGAACAAGCCCAAAATGAACTGAGTGCCTGGAAGTTTACGCCTGATAGGTAAACAAATCATTCTCCCCAGTCAAGACTTCCCTGACAGTCCCACCTCAAGAAAGCTGTGGTGGGACAGCCAAGTACTCGTTTCCACACCAAGACTCAGACTTTTTGAGCCAAAAAAGCCACATTCTTACACTGTCCAGCTTGTAATGGTTAATGTAAAACTTACCAGATGAACCTTGTGTTTCAGCTTTTTTCTCTTCCCCTCCCCCTTGCTTCAGAGGCCTGAGGTCGTCGGACTATTCCGAAGAAGAGGCCACCTCCGAAAAATGCCCCTTCTAGAGCATGTAGACACTTGAGAATGTTTCTGTTGAAGAAAATAGAGGGAGAAACAGAAGTCTTAAGTCTGTGGCACGCTGTGTCTTCAGACATTTTGGAGGATTGAAAACCTAGAGATTTTAAATCATGAATTGAACATGTAAAATTTCAGTAAAATGTAAAACGGAATATGCATCGCTCTTAACCTTGAGCATAGTGACTTAGAGACACTGTGCATCAGTTATGCCAATAAGACTGTGGACTTCATGCCTGTCGAACTACTGGGTCAAAACTCAAGGTGCATTGCCTTTAAATGGTTTCCATGCTAAGAACCAACTTTTACTAGTCATGAGACAATCAAATAATAGTTACCAGTAAAAGTAGCGCAAATATTTAACCAATTAGCTTTGAGCTCTATGTTTACATAATAGAGCCTTAAATCTATATGGTTTTTATCAATGGTTTGTTCTTTGAATGGTTGTGGAAACTGTAGATAATTTCAACTGAGGAATGTACAAACATCAAGGTGTGGTCTCAAACTTCAGCTTTAAACTGTTTGAAGCATTATAAACATTCATTTCACAAATAGTTTGTATAAGGATATTGACTGTGATGAGACTCATACGTTATTTTTTTCCAGTAAACTCTCATCTCATTAGTAGGCACATGTTAAATAGTGTTGTCATTGGTGTTAAATGGGGGAATGTGTTCCTTCATTGTATTGGGCCTTTTGTATTGCACTCTTGATATTAAATTAAATGTGCCTTGAAATAGTTGGTTTTTTTTTTTTAAGTTCAAGGATTACTCTGATAATTTTATTGTACTCTTAATATTTTAATTTGGGGGGGACTATGGAGAGCAGATCAACATTTTGGAAAAATTGTTCTGTGCTCTTCAAAGTGAAGGAAAAGGCTGTCTTGTTTAAAAAGGCTTTATTCCAGCTGGTGTAAAAGACAAGGAGACTTGACATTTGGTCCCAGGATATTGCAGTAGAACTTAATGTGGGACAGTCTCCCAAGGTTCCTGCCAGAAGATGGGGAAGTAATGTGACCTGTGGGCTGGCCTAAGTGAGATACGGTGAAGTGAAAAGGGCAGAGTGGTCATGTCTAGCAGGCCATTGGCTCATTTAGATGAATGAGGCATTATTTTCTTCATGCTTCCATCCAATCCTGGAGCTGAATTTTTTTCATCAGATCATTCTATTAAGTCACCAATCTGAGTTTTCGCTTGGTGACAATGGAGTCTGAGATGAGTAGAAGATAATGTTCCAGTCTGTCCCAGCGTTAAGTGGTTTTAACAAGGGTGACTTAAGTTCTCTCTTAAACGTTCAATCAATTGTAAGTATCTTGTATGTTTGTGCTTTAGGGAACTGATTGTGGGGCAGAGGGTGGGCTGAAGGAGGGATTTTTGTGACTTTTCAGGAACAAGTCTACTTCTAAAATTCTCACTGGGCAGGTTTGGAGGGTAAGTAAATCTGTTTAAAAGTAGTTTATTGTGACCAAATTAATTCATTTGTATTTATGCATTTTTAAGATCATGGTAGAAATAGACTTAAATCTTTTTAGTAGGTTAAATAGTAATTCATAAAATGTATTACTGACATGGTACTCAAATTTAGCCAGTGTCTTTCCTTGTTTTAGTAATAGTAACTTTGAGGCCTGTGGGCTTTTTCTCTTGTTGTTAAACTTTTCTCTTAATAATACATGTTCATGTGTACAATTGAAATACTTAAGAAAGGTGCCAAAAAGTGTCACTCATGGATGTGACGTCGACCCTGGGAGCAGTAGCTGCTGTTAAACTTCTTGGGTATCATCAAGATAATTTGTATGCACATACAATGGTTTTATGTATATTGGTTTTAAGCAAGTGTAATTATACTGCACATACAGAGGACTCACTTTTTTTCCCTCCATTTATCTCTTCAGCATTTTTTAGCACATCTAGATAATTCCACTTTTTTTTAATGGTAATATAATACTTTTAGTAATGATTATTTAATCACCTATAAATGGATTTTTGTTATGTAAATGAAAACAGTAAGGCAGAATACATCAAGTACTAAGGGTACACTACTAATTGAAAGAAGTAATGCTTAATCATCAGTGTGGAACAATTCACATTGGGTTCTTGTGTGTATATATATGTGGAATTTTCCCCCTTTGGTGTTAACTTTGAAGGAAGTTTTCCTAGCTAGGCATGGTGGCTCATGCCTTTTAATTCTAGTAGTATTGAGGTTGGTGCCAGACAATGGAGAGTTCAGGGGCCATACAGATTCTGATTCAAAAAACAAGGAGCAATGCAATGTGATATCCTCAATTACATCCTCTAAACGGTTCCTTTCAACAATGTATATAAGAGTGTTTGTGGAGGGCACATCCCCTTCCTCTTGATAACTAAAGCATTGTATGATGTTCCTTTATTAAGTCCTTACTTATTTCCCATTACTTTGTGGATTATTTGGTTTTAGGAATGGGTTGGTGTTTTTTGTTGTTGTTGTTGTTGTTGTTGCTTTTGTTTTCTTCCCCTATTAAAAAAATACTCAACCTGGGCCTGGTGGTACATATCTTTAATCCCAGCACTCCCCAGAAGCAGAGGCCTATAAATTTGAAGCCAGCCTGGTCTATGTAGTGAATTCCAGACCAGGCTACAGGGTCTCCAAAAAGTAGAGGAAAAAGAATAAATTTTTTTTTAATATTTTATTTATTTTTTTTTATGTGTATGAGTGTATTGCCTGCATGTATGTGCGTGCACCCATCACCCATGTCCTGCAATGCCGTGGAGGTCAGAAGAGGGCTTCGGAGTCCCCTGGAACTGGAGTTAAGGATGGTTCGTAGCCACCATGTGGGTGATGGGAATCGAACCTGGGTCCTCTGCAAGAGCAGTCAGTGCTCTTAACTGCTGAGCTATCTCTGCAGCCCCAAGAAGAATAAATTATTTTTAAAATACTGAAAACATCTGAAAGAAAGGAGTGACCTTTCTGTGAAACATTTCCTTTATTCTTCCTCTTTATTTTGTGGTGCCGAGGGTTGAACCCAGGGCCTCATATATGCTAAAGATACACTATATACCACTATACTTCTCAGCCCCCTCATTTTGTATGTGTGACCCCAAGACATTTTCTACAGCAAAGTTAATGACATACTACGGAATATTTTAAAGTGGTTTTAAGATGTTTTAGTTGCTATAATTGTTGGAGGTAGTAGGTTTATCCCAGATCAGGCATTTATAAACATTTTTTTCTTTCTTTTTGGTTGTTTGGTTTGGGTTTTCTTGAGGACATTTGTTATAGGGTCTCTCCATGTAGCCCATGCTCAACTGGAACCCATTTTTTGCCCGGAGCTGGCCTCAGACTGGCTTCAGCTTGTAGTGCTGGAATTGCTTTAGCCTCCCCAGCATGCTGCACCATGCTAGGCTAAAGTTTTCGGGGGGGGGGGGGGGTTCTGCCTTTTTGAGACAGAGGGTCTCCTTGTAGCCCCAGCTGGCCTGGAATTCACTATGTAAACCAAACTGGCCTTGACCTCTCGGAGTTCCGCTTGCTTCTGCCTGGGATTAAAGGTGTGCACCGCTATGTCCAGCCTAAGATAATGAATTTGTTTTTATTTAAAATATTTATTTTTATTTTATGTGTATGCGTGTATTGCCTGCATATAGGTAAGTGCACCCGGGTCTTGCAATGCCCAAGGACAGAAGAGACTGTCACATCCCCTGGAACTGGCATTATGGACAGTTGTTAGCTGCCATGTGGGTGCTGGGATTCGAACCTGGGTCTTCTGCAAGAACAACCAGTGTTCTTGACCACTGAGCCATCTCTCCAGCCCCCAAGATAATGAATTTTTAAATAGGACATTTTGCTATAGGATTTTTTAGGTTTTGGGTAGAGTTATGTTAGGTGACTAATTATTCTACAGGGGACCCCCCCCTTTAATGTTTATTCAGAGAAAAGTAGAATTTTCATGTTGGGAAAATCTGATACTGTATGCTTCGCAAGAAACAAAGCTGTTAGAGTGTAGGTAGACAAAGAGGAGAAGCCCACTGCCTTTGACCGTGCTGTCTGCATCTCGTTTCCTAACTTATTTCCACACAGTTACTGAGTGAAGGTTAAAGTCTGAGGAGGCTGATGAGAAATGGGGGAGTCTGAAGCTATGGTAGCAATGAAGGAAAATTGTTAAATAAATGCTTATGTGCTAAGAGCTCCTTTGAACCAGTAGTGACCCAGATTTTAATGTCCCACAGATTTCCATAAGGAAACTTAACTAAAATTTTTGTTGTTGACCTGTATTAGAACACAGGCTATAAATAGTAAAGGAAACTTGCCAACACGACCTGTAAGAAAGAAAATTACCTACAAAGTGCTCTAATTTTTTAAGGTTCTGGTGTTTGGTAGGACCAATGGATTATGGAGTAGTAGGTCAGCCAAGTGCAAGTCCCACTAGAAGGAAAAACAATGTGATAAAACTTGCTATGTAGAGCAGGCTGGTCTATCTCACAGAGATCTGTCTGCATCTGCCTCCCAAATGCTGGGATTAAAGGCATGTGCCACCATACAATGCTCATTGAAGTGTTTTTAACCAATAAAATCATTCTAGACTTAGCCCAGTGAGAAGAATGTCAAACTGTCCCTATTCAAGCCTCAAAGTTATGTGTCACAATTACTATAGTTGGCAGTTATTTCTAGGTTTGCAAAGTAACTCCCAATCTTAATCACATCAATAGTAAATTTTTAGCCCACCAGGCATAGTGGTAAGTTTCAGTTTGGGGCAGGGGAGGGGTGTTTTTCTAGGAAGTGACCCCAGGGTCTTGCACATACTAAGCAAGCCTACTGCCACTGAGCACCTACAGCCCAGAAAGTCTCTAGTCTTTATAAAGGATGTATAAACCTGCCAGGCGTGGTGGCACACACCTTTAATTCCAGCACTCGGAGGCAGAGGCAGGTGGATCTCTGTGAGTTTGAGGCCAGTTGGGGCTACAGGGAGACCTTGTCTCAAAAAGACCAAAAAAAAAAAAAAAAAAGATGTGTAAACCAGAGAATTACCTATTAAGAGGAATCTTTTATACACACATTTCCTAGCAAGAACAGTCAAGTCATTCATAGGTGTTTTATGGAGGCATGCATTCATGAGTGACACTATTTTTTAAAAGAACTTTTCTGTTTGATACAGCATAGTAGCTTAGTAGTATTAATATTGGTATATCCAAGTGTATATTAGCTGGCCTGCTTATGCTTCAAATGATAATTTGGTATGACAACAGATTTTTGATACAGTAGAAACAAAAGTGACTATTTGGCACTTTTTGTTTAGAGTTTATTTTTGCTGCTCTGTTGTTGAAATACTGAAGTGCGGAAGATGGATATGATCCAGAAAAGAAGATGGTAATTATAGGATGGCACCGCTGTGACATAGCTAATGTTCTGTACATGTTACATCTGTGGTAATAATGTGAGCAAAGGCTGTAGAGAGCTTTGTCTTCATTTTGTGATGATTGTGGCTCTTTCCTTTGCAGCCAAACAGGCAAAAAGTTAATGGCGAAGTGTCGAATGCTTATCCAGGAGAACCAAGAGCTTGGAAGGCAGCTGTCCCAGGGCCGTATTGCACAGCTTGAAGCAGAGTTGGCTTTACAGAAGAAATATAGTGAGGAGCTTAAAAGCAGTCAGGATGGTAAGGGATTTTGTTGTTGCTTAAAGTTCCTTAGCTTTGCACTGGCTTTGACAAACTGCCAGGCTTATGATAGATTAGATTGTGTGCATGTTCTTCTCAGCTGATAGTTATATAACATTGTGCATGCAACATTTATCATTGACTCAGCAGACAAAGCCGTTAATTTCAGAGTCTTCCCCACTATACTAATAGTTTATTGGGCAAATTTTGCTTTGTTTGTAGGATAAAGGTGTTGTATTTAAGATGTAAAAATGTATATTCAGTGCTTGAAAGGAGACATATCGTTAACCATTTCTCTTAAGTATACATCTTGGAAACATTTAGCAACTTCCAGTGGTCAAAAAATAATGTGATTGTATTTCCTAAAGGTCTTTAGTAAAAAGGGGGTTCAATATGTAAATTGGCTGAGACAAGCAAAACGTAATTATTACCCACCTGTGTGTGTGTGTGTTTGTGTTTGTGGAGTGGATTAAACGTAAGGAACATAGCTAACTGTGAGCATGTAAGCAGAGAATTGATATATTTGCTGGTTGTTTGCAAAGAAAATTAGTAGCCTAGTGTGATCTCTTTGAAAAAAGTAGAATTCAAGGCAAGTCTTAGCTTTTACTGCTTATAAACATGTTAAGTTGGAAGTGTTATGTAGCAGTGAGGGGGCTTTTCTCAAGTCAGTTTTAAGAAGTTTAATGCACATGTATATTTTACCAGTCTTCAAGTACTGTTTTATGTGCTTGTGTTCTTACATGTGGAACAGAACTTTCGAGGGTTAGAGTTGGGGACCACACTATCCTGAGGGCAGGGCCTTCTATGGATTTATGACACTACTTGAGGGTCAAGTCAGGGGACCCACAAGTCAACATAGGTAAGATTCTTCAGGCTGTTACCAGTTGTATGTGGCAGGGTAATTGAGTTTGAGTCAAATGTATTATTTAAAGCATCCAACTTCCCTCCAAACTCATTCTTGAATGGCTATTAAAAAATTCCAAGTAACTCAGTGTGTGGTTAAGAGCACACATTGTTCTTCCAGAGTATCAGAGTTCAGTTCACAGCACCCATGTTGGGTGGCTCACAAGTACCTGTAA